CCTACCAATATATTCCATAATTGTTGCAATCCTTTCCCACGCTCACCAAAACTTTTCCTAATACTGAAATAAATGTCACCGACTGCATTCAAGTAAGAAGTTTCATGTAACACTTATTCCACACAGGTTGGTAGGATTTCCTACTTAGACACATGTATTTGTAATATTGATATTGGTAAACATTTTCTCTATATTCATCTTGTGAGCTGCTATTGAATTAAATTTGAAATTTCATAGGAATCTGCTTAATCCACTTGATTCATGTTGTAAACCTGCAAATGCAAGTTGCCAGATCTATCTATGCATTGTAAGTGTTATTAGTTCTACATTTTCATTCCGGAGTAATAACTTGAGCAATAATTAGTGTAGTCAGTTCCCCCACATTCATCAATGATACAGAGTCTCCCTCTGTAGCCCAGGCTGGAGTGCAGTGGTGCAGTCTCGGCTTACTGCAACCTCTGCCTCATAAGTTCAAGAGATTCTTGTACCTCAGCCTCCTGAGTAGCTGGGACTCCAGGTACCCACCACCAAGCCCTGCTAATTTTTGTATTTTTAGTAGAGACGGGGTTTCCCCCGTGTTGGCCAGGCTGGCCTTAAACTCCTGGCCTCAAGTGATCCACCCGCCTCAGCATCCCAAAGTGCTGGGATTACAGGTGTGAGCCACCATGCTTGGCTATCAATTTCTTTAAAAAAAAAAAAAGAATTAAAGGTTAAAAATATTATTTTTAGGTTACTTTAACCAAAGAAAATGCATGAAGAACAGAAATTGTACTTCCAAAGGCAAGAAATACTGTCTTACCTGAGCTTCTAGAATTATTTTCTCCTCCATTTATTCAATTTTTCATTCAAAAATTTTGGTTAAGTAAAATGACTACAAAACGCACTGAGCTTTCAAAGTTCCTTTTACCATTTAAAAAGAGCATACAGTGCAAGCTCTTGGTGCTGCACCAAGATCCCCTTTAGCTGCTCCTGCTGTACAGCTGCAGAGTGTTGTCCGCTAATGGCTCACAGCTACTGTCTCCTCAAGAGAACTGCCCTCGGCCAAACCTGATCCAGAAGGCTGGGCTGTGTCTCCCCACCCCCATTCCCTACAGGGACAGACCCCAGCCAAGGACTGACTGGCATTCAGGAGATCAAAAGCCAGCCCCCTTGCCTCAAGAGGATCTAACAGTGTCGCATAATTTGTGTTTCAGATCTTCCTCAGTGGGATCAGGCAGAAGGTAGTCTCCAGCTGAGACCACATCCTTGCTTAGCTCCTTCTCTTATCTTATACTGCTTCTGAATTTCCCTTTTTCTGGGAACACTGCCCCAATAAATCATTCAAAGAAGAATCCTCATCCTAGGCTCTGCTTCTAAGGAACTTGACTTAAGATAACTCCTAAACAAAACATTTTTCAAAAAGAACAATTATTGCCTGGGTCATCTGAGTTAAACCTCTGAAACTGATGCCATCATGCTCAGTATTTTATAGATCATATATATAAATTAATAGCTATAACATTTTAAAATAACTATAATATTGATATCTACAATATCATTTACTCTCTATAACAGTATTTAATATGTAAGACATCAGAGCATCCTAGTAAGCAATGACCTCTGAAGAAACCTCTTACCCTTATTTAAAAAAAAAAAAGCAAAATAGTTCACTGGTGTATTTCAAAGCAGGCAAGGTGGAAAGAAAGCATCAACTGAAGATATTCTGTTTGAGTAGCAATTAGGCTCTACAAGAGGAATTCTATCTCCAAAAGAGGATTCACAAATTCATCTCTGCAAAATTTTTAAGACAACAATAGTGGTTTCCTAGGCTTCTCTTCAGCCTGTCAGTAGCTTCTAGCTGTACCCAGCTGTACAGAACACTTAAAAGTGGTTAGGGTATCTGGCCAAGCCAGAGAAAACAGGATGATAATTAATCACCTCAAACCTAGACTGAATTCTCAATGTTGTTTTAATGGCTCAGTCCTCCTCTGAGCTATCAAGTCCTTTTACAGAATAAACATGTGTAGCCAACTCTCAATTTTTTCAGCTTTAATGGGAGGACTATTTATTCCACAAATATCTATTGAGTTTTTGCTAAGTGCATAGTACTTTGTTAGGTGCTGGGTAGAACTGAGAGGAGTAAATATGCTGTTTAGACACCAGAGATATGCACGAAACCAAAAAACTGTATTAGGTTTTGGAATATTATGCTGTGGAGGACCCAAAACTCATGTCAATCTTGAAGCCTGTCTGCCTTCTCAGTTTTCCTCACTCCTCCCTTCTCAGTTCTAGTTTCCAACATGCATTACTTTTTGGTTTTACTTTCCCTCAGAGGTATGTAACTGTCTGCACTCCTGCTCCTCCTTTTATTCTATGCTTCCCCTCCATGATATCCCACCCAAAGCCCTTCCATTTATGCTTCCTAGGGAGAGGGGAATACACAAGAATTAAACTGTTTGATTTGAAAAAGACATTATGGATTGTCTAGCCAAGGATGAAGAAGGTGCTATAGCCTCAATTCAATGAAAATCACCCAATTACAGAAAGCTGACTAGTTGTTTCAACATTCCTGAAGTTGGCAACTGTCGAAGAGATTCAGTTCATTGGCAGAATAAATGAGCCTAGTTAAGGATTCTTTATATTTATCTCACATTATGGAGTTTACAATTTTTTTAGACATACACATTCCATCTGATCTTTATGGCAATCTTGTGAGGTCAACCTGCCATATCAGAGGAAACTGAAGTTGCTTATTTTCTCATGTGAATAGGGAAAGGGATAGAGATTAATGTTCTCAATATGGGCCCATCATCAGAGTCATCTGGGCATTGTTATATGTAAATTTATGTTACGTATAACATAAATTACGGAGTTTACAAATTTATATTCGAGTGCAAAAGAAGTAGCACTTGAATATAAATTTTCTCAGCAAGGCAATTTACTTCTATAGAAGGGTGCATCTCACAGATGGAGCAATAGCAAATGCACACCTGGACAAAGGACAGGAAGAGTTTCTTATTCCTGATGCAGGTAGCCCCTACTGCTGTGTTGCTCCCCTACGGCTAGGGTTGGACTGCACAGTCTAAACTAATTCTGATTGTCCATTTTAAAGAGAGCAGGGGTATGAGCCAGAGTGGCAGGGTGGGTAGTTTGGTGGGAAGGACAGTTATAGAACAGGTCAGAGTAGGTGACCAGGGGAACAGATGTGAACTACTGAAGAGGCAAGGGGGTGCAGAAAACCAGGAAGTTAAACTTTAAAATGGAGAATTAAAGAATAAGAGAGCTGAACATACTGACATACTGATTCTTTGAAGAGAAACTTGGAGTTTACTATATCTAACAGCATCTTTATTTTGGGACAGTAGCTTATTTATTCATACAGTCTTATATGGTGCATCAATATTGTTATGTTTTATTCATTGATGATCAATGCCTAGATCTATTGGTATTACCTAGATCCATTGAATTAAGAGTTACAGAATGGTTATGTTCTAATTCTAATAGTCTCTCTAACATTACTCAAAAAGCTGAAGAAATTTTAAAACACACATATAACAAATGGTATGTATAGGAATAAGCAAACAAAAAAATTAGCACTTAATTCTTTTTTCAATTTAAAACTTTGCCAGTGTGATGGCTCACACCTGTAAACCCAGCACTCTGGGAGGCCAAGGCAGGCAGATCATGAGGTCAGGAGATTGAGACCATCCTAGCTAACACAGTGAAACCCTGACTCTACTAAAAATACAAAAAAAAAAAAAAAAACCCAGGCATGGTGGCATGTGCCTGTAGTCCCAGCTACTTAGGAAGTTGAGGCAGGAGAAGCTCTTGAACCTGGGAGGCAAAGGTTGTGGTGAGCCAAGATCATGCCACTGCACTCCAGCCTGGGTGACAGAGTAAGACTGTCTAAAAAAAAAAAAAAAATTCATCTAGGACAGTGGTTGGCAAGCTTTATCACTGTAAAGGGCTAGCAAATATTTAGGCTTTTGGGGCCACACAGTCTCTGTTGCTACTCAACTTTTCCACTGTAGCATGAAAGTAGCCATAGACATGTAAATAAATGGGTGTGGTTTGTTGTGTTCTGAAAAAACTTTGTTTACAAAAACAGGCAGCAGACTAGACTTAATCTGAGGGCCACAGTTTGCCAACCCTTGATAAAAGCTAAACGTTTTTCATGTTTGGAGGCAACTTTTAATTTTCAACTTTTTGTGACAGGCTATTTCAACCATATACAAAAGTTGAAAGAATAACATATTGAATTCTTATTTATGTATCACCTATCTTCAACAGTTACTAATTTAGGGCCAATCTGGCTGGGCACAGTAGCTCATGCCTATAATCCCAGCACTTTGGGAGGTCAAGGCAGGTGGATCATTTGAGGTCAGGAGTTTGAGACCAGCCTGATCAACATGACGAAACCCCAACTCTATGAAAATAAAAAAAATTAGGTGGTGTGGTGGTAGGCACCTGTAATTTCAGCTACTAGGGAGGCTGAGGCAGGAGAATCACTTGAACCCAGGAGGCGGAGGTTGTAATGAGCCAAGATAGTGCCATTGCATTCCAGCCTGAGCCACAGAGCAAAACTCCCTTTCAAAAAATAATAATAATAATTTAGAGCCAATCTTATTTGATCTGTAGCCATCTTCCTGCCCACCTGTCTTCCTCACAATTATTTTTAAATGGATCCTTTTATATTATTCATATTCATTTCATCCATATTTTAGTATCTCTGAAAACATGCCCACAATGCAATTATCACACCTAATAAAATTGACATTTTAAAAAATTTGTGTGATTAAATCAACAGCCTAATAAGCTCCAGCTTCAGTTGAAAGCTATGTCTCTTAAGTATTTTGTACTTGATAGAACCTGGGAGGCAGAGGTTGCAGTGAGGAAAAAAAAAGGTGTTCGAATAACAGCTAGACATTTTCAGTATCTTAGCAGCCAGCTCCTTAAGAGTGCTTCACAGATGGCCAAGAAAACTTTTATTTTCCACCCAAAGGGTGGAGGTTGGTACTTACAGTTACAAAGAGTTCAGGATTCCCTTTAAGTTCTTCAGTCTTCCAAATTCACACTCCTAGAGATCACGGGCACATGGATTAATGTCTGAAATTCATCTGCAGAGTCAGCTCTTCTTGCCACGATGTATCTATGAAGGTAACACATCTGGGTGTGATTCAGGGGCCAAGCCAACAAGATTTTCTGTTGATAATCTTGATTATCATAAATCACTATGATTATCTGCCTTTTGAAACATAATAAAGACATCAATTGGAGTCTAGGGACAAATTATCCAAATCCTGCCTTTCCCACTTACTGTGTGAATAGTGGCAAGTTACCTAATCTCTCTGTACCTTGGATTCGTTGTCCCTAAAATGGGGATAATAATAGTACTCTCTTTGACTTAATCTGAGAACTAAATAGGTTTAATATATGTAAAATGCTTAAAACAGCATTTTGCTCTTATATTGCTAACCACTATTATATTTAGAGCCAGGAATGTCACCTGTGTGGTAACTTAAAATCAGTAACAGGAGGGCTAGGTACATACAGACCACAAATTGTGGCTTTCACAATGACCCAGTGTCCTTATTTTAAGCACTCTGAGATCAAGACTTAGAGTAGAAAATAGTTCTCCCTTTCACATTGTAAGAGTGATTACATGAATCTTGTCAGGTGGAGTGGGGAGGGTCAGAGTGTCCAGAAATTGTAGCTAAAAAAAATGGTTCGAACCACTACCACTCCTCTAATTAATTCCATAGTTTATGGGAGCTGAAAGCCCCCCTTATACCTCAACAATACTTTTGGCCATTTTATGTGACTGCTTCAGATTCTAGCCTCTTGCTTTTGAAATATAACCCCCATACCAAGTCATATTCACCTAGGCGAGAAGTGCAGCCTTTTCTTCCATTTACACTCACTCCTACAGAGATTCATGAACTTAATGGGCTTTACCAGCAATTTGAGGGAAAGAAGAAAAAGAGGTTTGACTTAAATCAGTGAAAACCACCTCTTGTGGTCATGTAGATGCAGCCATTCTTGAACCATCCTTTGACTCGGAGCTGTCCAATAGAACTCCCTATGATGATGGAAATGTTCTGCCCTGCTTAGTACAGTCGCCATCAACCACATGTGGCTTTGAGCACTTTAAACATGACCAGTGTGACTGAGAAATTAAAATTTAACTTTATTTAATTTTAACATACTTAAATGTATTAAACAGCTATTTGTGGCTCATGGCTACTTTATTTATAGCACAGCTTTAGTCCTTTCCCTGTAGCCTCACGGACTTTTTACTCCTTAGAGACCCAGCTCTCTCCATCTTTCTCACTCTTATCATCTTTACAGATGTTCCCTTATTTTATGCCTGGCAGTTTATCCTTCTACAAGCATGTCTTAGCACCTGATGATAGCCACGTCTTTGGGTCTCCACTTACCACGTGATTCTTAGGCATTACTTAATTTATTTGTGCCTCAAACTCATTGTCTCTTAACTGGGTATAATAGTTACTCTCAGTGAGTTATTCTGAGATTTAAATAAGTTAATACATGTAAAGGGGAATACTATCCCAATGAGCTTAGCACAGGTCATGCCAAAGAAAGACATTTTTGTACCTAGAAGAAATTCTAATGAAAGATGTTAAATAAAACTTTCATCTTGTTTATAATAATTTTAGGCTGCACTGTCCAATGCAGTAGCCACTGGCCACATGTGGTTATTTACATTTAAATTTTAATTATTTAAAGTTTGTTCCTCAGTAGCACTAGTCTCATTTCAAGTGCTCAATAGCCACATGTATCTAGTGACAATTACATTGCACATGGTAGTCACAGGAAAGTTTTACTGGGAAGTGGCAGAATATTACTACTATATTTTTGAACTCAAGTACAAAGGATTGCCACAGTAGGCCAAAAAAACAATTAAATTAGGCAATACCAATCAACAGCAGGTTTGGCCCCTTATCAATCTCACTATCTCATTTTGTATTCTGTATCCTCACGTTTCATTTTTCCCTTTTACTGCTTCCTCTCCCATCTTGACAGTACTAATGAAATGTATTAATAAATACTAATAAAACCTTATAGACCTCATTTTAAATGATATAAAGAATATTTTTCTATTTTCTTCTAAGGCTTCTTAGCAAAGGAGATTATGCCTTTCTTTTTATTAATACCAAATTATGTCTGGCAAAACAACAGGCATAATCCTATTCACTTGCTGCAGCCACAGAACAGCTAGGAACAAAACAAAACTTAATGAAGATATTTAAATGAGTCCTATTTGCTCATAGGTTGATAGAACTTGATATAAGTTAGTGAAGGGAAGATAGTTCAGATCCATTGTGTGTGTGTTCACCTCCTTGTATATTTTTTGTCATTAACTGTAGTCAACAGGAACTCATCTGGGTAGTTAACAAAAGTTTTCCTTTGAGATTCTTTTGGGCATTTGCTCCAAAGAAAAATGTTATTATGCCAGAATGCTCTTTTTTTTTTTGAGACAATCTTGCTCTGTTGCCCAGGCTGGAGTATAATGGCATGATCTCGGCTCACTGCAACCTCCACCTCCTGAGTTCAAGTGAGTCCCCTGCCTCAGCCTCCCAAGTAGTGGCGACTATAAGTGACTGTGACCACACCTGGCTAATTTTTGTATTTTTAGTAGAGATGAGGTTTCACTCTGTTGACTAGGTCAGTCTCAAACTTCTGACCTCAAGTGATCCACCCACCACAGCCTCCCAAAGTGCTGGGATTACAGGTGTGAGCCACCATGCCTGGCCCAGAACACTCTTGTTTCAATCTTAGTAAGAGTACAAATAAAGTGTTCTTGGTAGAGAAAAAATTAAAATGGTCCTTAATCCTGAAAAGTGTTTAGTTAGTGCTCTATTTTCAATAGAGGAAAATAAAAACCAGTAAGTACAGTATTTTTAAATACTATTAAAACAAAGATAATAGAGATTTACCTGGCAGGGAGCGGTGGCTCATGCCTGTAATCTCAGGACTTTGGGAGTCCGAGGCAGGCAGATCACCCGAGGTCAGGAGTTCGAGACCAGCCTGACCAATATGGAGAAATCTTGCCTCTACTAAAAATATAAAATTAGCCAGGCGTTGTGGTGCATGCCTGCAATCCCAACTACTCAGGAGGCTGAAGCAAAAGAATCTCTTGAATCAGGGAGGTGGAGGTTGCAGTGAGCCAAGATCATGCTGTTGCACTCCAGCCTGGGCAACAAGAGTGAAACTCCATCTCAAAAAAAAAAAAAAAAAAAAAAAAAAAAATTTACTCAACACATTTTCAAAATACATAACTTTTACTTCAAATAGGTTCTCTCTTCTGGGTTCTCTCTTCAGGTTGGAGGATATTATATGTCTGTTTCCCCAGAGAAGAGACTTTAAGAAATTTCCTAACATTAGTTTCATGGAAGAATGCCTCTGAGAACACTTGTGGGGATGTCAAAAAAAAAAGCAGAGTTGGGCAGAGAGAGACATTCGGTTGCAACGAATTATAGCAGAGTTCTCAGCTAATACTACAGGGAGCTCTGGAGTTAGGATAGCTCTTCAAAGCTGTCCTAAATGAAAACATAGAAGCCTAGACCTGAACTCCCACATTGGACAGCCATGCCATAAGGGCTGTCCTTTGGCTAATGGCAATTGATACAAAAGAATGTGAGTTGCCAGGGCTCCCAGCAGCTGGAGAATGAGTGCCTTCTGAATGAGTGATCTGGGCAGCATACACAATACAGAGGAAAGCCATCTCATTTCCTCCTCTAGAGGTAGTATTCATTTTATTCAGATGTGTGGTCTAATTTCCACAACCCAGGCAAGACAATTCTGAGGGTCCATAGTGAACCACCTGTTTTAGAAGGGGTTCCTAGAAATAGACCCTGAGATGATGATTTGTATGAAAGCAATTTATTGGGAAAAGTCCCAAAACAAACCAACCGGGGAAGTGAGATCAGGAAAGGAAGAAGGTCAAGCAAGCATATCAAGCAAAGTCCTACAGCAGGTAACATAGGCTCAGTTCTACCGGAGACCTTTGGAGAGGGTATGTGTACTTCCTCAGAGTTGTCCCCACCAGGAAGCAAGGTATCTTGCCCATTTATTGCCCCCTACCCCACTCTGCATTTATCAGCCATTGGTTAGGGACCGCCTCTGAGAAAACAAGTTTCCAGGCACTTTCAGCTCTCCAAGTGTAGACAAATTAGATTCCAACCGCTTGGGGGCAACCCTTCAGCAAAGACACAGATGTCACCTCTCCTGGAAGTGAAAGCACATAGGAACCCATGTGCCTTAAATGGTAAAGGGACTGGGGAGGCTATGGGTGGAGAATTGAAAACATGGAGTAGGGGTTCATTAATTTTTAATAAACCCATATGTCTTATTACCCTGGTGGGCACTGAGGCCAGTTATTCCAGTTCCCTGTCCTGTCTATGCTCAACTTGAGAAGAAAGAAAGCAAATGTACTAATCTCTCCACCCTTTTTTTTAGCATGATAACACATTCTCCTGTATATTAATGCATACCAAATAACATACAGTCATGTATGCTTTGCCCGAGGACAAGCAATAATTGTTAGGTCAGGGCAATCCTAATTTAGATTAACAAAATATAATATCATCATAACCAGAACTAATTGTGGATTCACTCAACATTTTTCAAAATACATACACTTCAAGTAGCTTTTTGAAATACAGCACTTTTTAAATCCATGCATCAAGTTGTTATTAGAAAATATATCTGAGAACGATCCAAGATGGCCGATCGCTAACATCCCGGGATTGCAGCTCTCAGGGAAGGCACGGAGAACTAGAGGACGCCACACTTTCAGACAAATTCTGGTCGCTCACAGAGCAGAAGATCCCCAGTGGAGGAAACATACGGGTGGCCAGCGTGACTTTCATGGCCGGCGCAGAGGTTCCGCTGGCACCTCAGCGGCAGCTCTCGGAGCAGAGTAAACAGGTTCGGAGGACCCGCATGGGCCCCCAGGACAACACCAGAGCCCGGTGCATCGGCTGTGATGGCACCTCGGCGTGGCAGCGCTCTGCTCAGAGTAAACGGGACCGGTTCCCCTTCTGACCGAGGTTTGGAGCCCCGGGAAGGCAGAGTCGCCTACTACGGACACAAGAAGGAAGCCAGACAGGAGAATCCTGGGCAGAAAAGCACCATCAGTTTTAATGCCGCTGCTCTGGCCCTGGGAACTAACAACCTGGACATCCACTCAAGAGAGCTAATCTGAAAGTTGGTAATTTCAAAGACGACAGGAGGATAAATTTACAATGATGGGAAGAAACCAGCATAAAAAAGCTGAGAATACTCAAAGTCAGAACGCCTCTCCCTCTAAAGATGATCACAGTTCCGCATCAACAATGGAACAAGGCTTGATGGAGAACGAGCACATCCTGATGACAGAATCACTCTTCAAGGAATGGATAATAACAAACTTCGGTGAGTTAAAAGACCATGTTGTAGCCCAACGTAAAGAAACTAGGAACTTTGAAAAAAGGTTTGATGAAATCCTACTGAGAATAGACAACTTAGAGAGGAGTATGAGTGAATTAATGGAACTGAAGAATACAATACAGGAACTCCAAGAAGTATGCACAGGCTTAAACACTCAAATTGTTCAAGCAGAAGAAGGGATGTCAGAGGTCAAAGTCCAACTTAATGAAATAAAACATGAAGAAAAGATTAGAGAAAAAAGGATAAAAAGGAATGAGCAAAGTCTCCAAGAAATGTGGGACTATGTGAAAAGACCAAATATACGTTTGATAGGTGTACCTGAATGCGACGGAGAGAATGAATCCAAGCTGGAAAATACCCTTCAGGATATTATTCAGGAAAATTTTCCTAAACTAGCAAAGCAGGTCAACATTCAACCCCAGGTAATACAGAGAATACCACAAAGATATTCCTCAACAAGAGTAACCCCAAGGCACATAATCGTTAGATTCACCAGGGTTGAAATGGAGGAGAAAATACTAAGGGCAGCCAGAGAGAAAGGTCAGGTTACCCACAAAGGCAAGCCTATCAGACTTACAGCAGATCTCTCAGCAGAAACTCTACAAGCCAGAAGAGAGTGGGGGCTAATATTCAACATCCTCAAAGAACAGAACCTTCAGCCCAGAATTTCATATCCAGCCAAACTAAGCTTCACAACTGAAGGAAAAATAAAATCTTTTATGAACAAGCAAGTACTCAGAGATTTTATTACCACCAGGCCTGCTTTACAAGAGCTTCTGAAAGAAGCATTACACACAGAAAGAAACAACCAGTATTAGCCTTTCTAAAAATATACCAAAAAGTAAAGAGCACCAAAATAAAGAAGAATTTACACCAACGAATGGATAAAACAGCCAGTCAACATCAAATGGCAGTAACCCTAAATTTAAATTGACTAAATCCCCCAATCAAAAGACACAGCCAAAACCCAATGGCATGTTACACCCAGAGCTGTTTCACATGCAAGCATACACAAAGACTCAAAACAAAGGGATGGAGAAAGATTTACCAACCAAATGGAGAGCAAAAATAAATAATAAATAAATAAAAAGCAGGAGTTACAATTCTGTTATAGGATAAAATAGATTTTAAAGCAACAAAGATACAGTGGTAAAAGGATCAATGCAACAACAAGAGCTAATGATCCTAACACCCAGATACGAGACTTAGATTCAATGAGACAGAAAATTAATAAGGATATCAAGGACTCGAACTCAGATCTGGAACAAGTAAACTTAATAAATATTTATAGAGCTCTCCACTTCAAATACACAAAATATACATTCTTGTCAATACCACATCACACCTACCCATAAGCTTAAATGAAACATTGATTGGCCATCATTAATACCCAATTTTTTTCAAAATAAAGCAATATTTCTATTTACTCTCCCTCTTTCTCTTCCTCTTTCTTCCTCTCCTTTACTTATTTTTTTTTCTTTCCTTCTCTCAAAAAAAAAGAAATCAACTTGTAAACCTCTAGATCCAGGTTGGCAATGTCTCTCTCATTGCTTGATTTCCTTCCTTCCCTTCCCTCCCTCCCTCCCTCCCTCCCTCCCCGCTTCCTCCCTTCCTTCCTTCCTTCCTTCCTTCCTTCCTTCCTTCCTTCCTTCCTTCCTTCCTTCCTGCCTTCCTTCATGCCTTCCTTCCTCCCTACCATTCTCTTTCCCTCCCTTCCTGCCTTCCTCCCCCACCCAAAAAAAAAAAAGAAAATATATCCTTAATTACATGTGCCTATTTGCATAATACTAGGAAAGTTTTCTTTTAGTGTATCCTGGAAGGGTGTATTAGTGATCTCCTCAATACAATAACTTTCTGAATTGCTTTTGAAAGTTATTTGAAAGAATGTTTAACAATGTTCTTCAATACAAGTATTTGTGAGGTCATACCCCCACTAAAAATTACAATATCTGTGTTAAATTTCTTTACTTCCTTTAAAAATTAGTTATTTCATCAGATGACTTCCATCAGTATTGAGGACTCATATTAAGGAGGGTCATTTCAGGCTAATATCTCATTTCCAAGTAGTACTTCACTGTTCAAAATTTAAAACTCAAAAGAGAGTCCCATAATAAGACAAAGATTGTAAGGACTTAGTTACTTGGCAACTTCCTCCTTAATGGAGAACAATTTCGGGGAACAACACTTGCTTTACAATGACAAACAAAATGAAACGAAGTCAACATTAACCACACTGAAGTGATGGTGCTTATTTGCAGGTGGGAAAGAAAAGCTGTGAGGTAGGTGCACAAGCTTTATTAGATTCCTATAAATAGACTTTCTTTTGCCACCTTAGTTGAGCCTCTTATCATTTCATCGATCCACTTTATAATCTAATACCAAATGCATTTCTATACAAAGGCTAAGAAAAGGGGTTTATTCTCTTTCACTATATGACCATTTTGAAGAAATGACTTAGGTATGCTATGAATCAGTGACTCTGATTCTATACCAAAATTTTTACAATCTGTGTTGTAACGTATAAGGATTACCTGTAATTTCAGGATAATCAGATTTTTTTGTTCAATTGCCTTATTTCTATTGTTGTAATATTGGCTTTATCTCTAAATATATTATGATTCCGTTTATAAATGACTATGAAGCTCACATAAACCTCTAGTAATTGCTGGGCACAGTGGCTCACACTTGTAATCTCAGCACTTTGGGAAACCAAGGTGGGCAGATCACCTGAGGTCAGGAGTTCGAGACCAGCTTAGCCAACATGTTGAAACCCTGTCTCAATTAAAAATACAAAAATTAGCTGAGCATGGTGGCGTACACCTGTAATCCCAGCTACCCAGAAGGTTGATGCAGGAAAATCGCTGGAACCCAGGAGACAGAGGCTGCAGTGAGCCAAGATTGTGCCACTGCATTCCAGCCTGGGTGACAGAGCAAGCCTTTGTCACAAAGAAAACAAAAAACAAACAAAAAAACCTCAAGTAACTAAAAAATTGCTCCAGCAATTTGGTCCCTTTATAATTCAAATTTCTTATCTGCAAAAAGGAGAGACACAATGTCCTATCGCCTGTGTTGTATCTGATTTTGATTGGGAATTTGAGCTTTGTTTCCTACTTTGGTGAAGACACATCGATATCAGACTAAGGATTTTAAGGTAAAGAACAGGAAACAGGTATTGATTTCCTTTATCCACCCCAGTCCCTTTGTATCTCTTTGTATTATTCTATGATGGATTAGGTGGACAAGCCAGCAAATGTTTCACGTTTGCTACTGATTTGATGGGCTTTGGAAAAAAAGAATTTGAGGCATATACTAGTAAGGAGAAAAGTCCTTAAAATCAGGTCTGGGTCAGTGTGATAAGTTGCAAGCCACTGCATCAGAAGACCCCAGACCACCTAATACCTTATTTACGTCTCTTAGCTCTCTCTTACTAAGCATGCGTGCACACACACACACACACACACACAAATATCTTACTGAAATAAATACTGATACTTTTATTAATCTAAGATTTCTTTTGGTCACTTCTGTATTTCCTTTCTCTGGTCTGAATACGGTCATTGAAATATGCTTTCTCCTTCTTATCTGTAATCTTCTAAGGCGTTATTACTCCGGGTGTAGTACATGGAGACAGAGTATACAAACCATAAAGGATAAAATGCAGATCCTGAACCCACTGAATCAGAGTCTAAGGGAGGGAGTCCAGGAGTCTGCATTTCAACAGAAGAGTCTTGTGCAAATTTAAGTTTTAAAGTCATTGCTATAGGTTGTTATATAAAATTTACATGCTAAATTAAATAAACTAAGGTACAGTCCTTCCAAGAGCTATTTGACACCCATTAAAAAAAAAAAAGAGGCTAGGTATGGTGGCTCACACCTGTAATCCCAGCACTTTGGGAGGCCAAGTGGGGAGGATCACCTGAGGTCAGGAGTTTGAGACCAGCCTGGCCAACATGGTGAAACCTGACTCTACTAAAAATACAAAAATTAGTCCGGTGTGGTGGCTGACACCTGTAATCCCAGATACTCAGGAGGCTGAGGCAGGAGAGTTGCTTGAACCCGGGAGGCAGAGGTTACAGTGAGCTGAAATCATGCCATTGAGTACCAGCCTTGGCAAGAGAACAAGACTCTATCCCCAACCCCTCACTAAAAAGGAAAAGGAAAAACACAAGATTAAGCCATGGAGGTCCCTCAGCTTCCCTGGCTTCAGAACCCCCCAGCCTGTCCTCCCCACTCCTTTAAGGGCTTTGGTTACAACATAATTAACCAATCACGGTCTGATTGTTTCTGACTTCTCAGTCTATCCCACCACATTTTTTTATTTCCTCCTGATATTCTTTCTCATTACTTTTAGAAGAGTTAAGTCCAACAAAATGAAATACTAAAGACAAAGTAATTTCAGTAGAAATGTAACAATAGAGTGGACTGCTCTCAACCAGATATCATGGGGGCGACTGTATAGCAGGCAGCCTATCTTTGCTGTCCTCCATTCCCACCTCCCTCTTCAGGAGGTGTCTCATCCTTCTTCAGTACCTGTTCCTCTCCTTCCAGCCATCTAGTCACCCAAAGGATGTCCCCAGAATGTGAGGTCACCGAAAGTTCTTTCTGGAGCATCTCAGGAACCACACCTTTTGTTTTTTTTCTTTCTTCCCATATAAACTTTTCCTTTCTGCCTTTTGGGTGAACAAAACAAATAACAAATGACAACAACAACAAAAAAGCAAGTAATAAATCATCAAGAAAATCTTCTGTGTTGGTATTTCTCATCTATATAGTTTTTCTTTTCTTTCCTTTCCTTTTTTTTCTTTGTTTGTTTGTAAAGACTGAGTCTCATTATATTGTCCAGGCTGGTCTTGAACTCCTGGCCTCAAGTGATCCTTTCACCTCAGTATCCCAAAGTGCTGGGATTACAGGTGTGAGCCACTGCACCCAGAAGCTTTTTGTTTTAAATCTTTTTTGAGGAATAGTTTATATACAGTAAAATTAACCCATCTTAAGTGCACAGTGCAAAGGGTTTTGACAATATACATCTATGCAAATACCTCTGCAGTCAAGACATATAACATTTCTCATTACCCTCTTGGGTAAGTTCCCTCTTGGTTCGTTGCAGTGAAACTCACCCCACACCTGACCTCCCAGCCCCAAACAACCATTGATCTGCTTATGGTCATTATAGGTAAATTTTGCCAGCTCTAGAATTTCACATAAATGAAATCATATCGTGGGTACTTTTTGTGTCCAGCTTCCCCCACCCCTCAATATAAGGCTTTTGAAGTTCATTCATAATGTTGCATGTATGGATATATCACAGTTTGGCCAATCATTCTCCTGCAGATGGACATTTAGGTTGTGTACAGTTTGCAACTATTATAAACAGAGCTGTCATTGCCATTGTGTACAATTTTTCTTTGGAATATATTGTCATTTCTCTTTGGCAAAAACTTTTGAGTAGAATTACTGGGCCATATGGTAAGACTATGTTTAATTTTATAAAACAAGTAACAATTATCCAGCGTGGTTTTATCATTTTACATTCCCACCAATGATGTATGAGTTCCAGTTATTCAACATTCTCCCCCACACTTAGTATTGTCAACCTTTTCAATTCTAGCCATTTGAATAAATATGTCATAGTATCTCATTATTATTTTAGTTTGCATTTCTCTGATAAATAAAGATTATAAGCATCTTTTCATGTATTTTTACTGGCATTCATATAGCTTCTTTTCTGAAGCACCTGTTCAAATCTTTTGCTCATTTTAAATGAATCATTTTTATTACTTACATACATACACGCATGATACTTACGATGCTGAGCTCAAAGGATTGATTCTAATGGTATGCATCAGACACAGTAGTCAAGGGTAGAGTCTAATTTTGTATATGAAAGGTGGAATTTTTACCCCTATGTAAGCTGCAAAGCACTGAAACCCATAATTAATAGTGCCCCTGCTCTGATATAAGAGTGATTAGGCACACAGATTATGGAGTCACTCTGACTTGGCTCATACACTGGCTACACTACTTCCTAGATGTGAGTCATTGGACAAAATGCCAGATGAATCTGTGCCTCGGTTTATTCTTCTTTAAAACAGGGCAACGATAATACCTCAAAAATTGTTGTGATATCTAAGTGATGTTATTTAAGATCCTTTGAACAGTTCAAATACATAGTGAGCACTCAGTAAACGTTTGATGTTATCAGGACAAAGAATCTGAGTTTCAGTTATTAAAGTGCTCACCTAACCACATTCTTTCTAGAATCCTTATCAATATAACATTATCTCTCTCCTCCAGCTCTCAATTATATTTTTACCACTAGTTTAGATGAGCAATATCTGAAGACTTCTTTTCCTCTGGCTTTTAGGTGATTTGGAAAAACATAGGCAAAGAAAGAGGTGGTTTGAAGGTAGGTTTTACCTGATGGTTTAAATTTTATATCAACTTGTTCCCTGGAAGTCTAATTCTTTTTAGACTACTGCAACAAAGTTTTGAGACAAGTTAAAGCTTAAGAGAGGGAGAGCAACTAGACTCATTCCAGCAGAAGACTGAGAGTAACATTTGACAATCCAATTATTTTATTTCAGGGGCAGAAAATTAGTTTCCTCTAGGACAAACAGAGGAAGTGAAACTTTAACAACTTTTGTCTTTGAACTTCAGGATGTCCTAAAAGTTCCTGAAAGTACGTATTTAAAAAAAAAAAGAAATAATTAACATGTATTAGATTAATATAATAAAGAACAAAAACCACATGATCATCTCAATAGACGCAGAAAAATCATTTGAAAAAAATCAACACCCGTTCATAACAAAAACTCTCAAACTAACAACAGAACTTCCTCAACCTGATAAAGATTATCTGTAAAAAAAACACAACTAACATCATTCTTAATGCTGAAAGCCTGGATCCTTTCTTTCTAAGATCAGGAACAAGGCAAAGATATCTGCCTTTGCCACTTTTATTCTATCTTGTGCTGAAGTTTCTATAGCTAATGCTATAAAAATTTTGTTTTTAAATTAAGGACATTAGGTTGGAAAGAAAGAAGTAAAACTGCCTCTTTATATAATGTAGTCCTATACCAAAATTCAAAGGAATTTTACTAAAACTATTAATAAAAGACTTTAGCACAGGTATAAGATCAATAGACAAAAATTAATTGTATTTCTATACAACAATGAACAGTCAGAAATGGAAATTAAGAAAACATTTCCTTCACAATGACGGTGAAGAGAATAAAATATAGAAGAAACACAAAACTTTACACTGACAATTATAAAACATTGTTGAAAAAAATTGAAGAAGACCTAAATGGAAAGACATTTCATATTTATAGATTGGAAGACTGAATATTGTCAAGATAGCTATTCTTTTCACATTGATCTATAAATTCAATGGCATCAATCTCTATCAGAATTCTACCAGAGGGGCTGGAAAAGTGAGTATCTCTATTAGTTTACCCCCTAACTATGTTTAGGCCCAGGGGCAAGGGTACAAATAGAAATCCCAGCTTACTCTCTTCTTTTCCCACCACAAACTCTGTCTTACACCAGAAGCCTCATGAGCGCTCTCTCTCTCTCCCTCTCTTTCTCTTTCTCTCTCTCTCTCTCTCTCTGTGTGTGTGTGTGTGTGTGTGTGTGTGTGTGTACATCTTTCTCTTTCTCTCTCTCTCTCTCTGTGTGTGTGTGTGTGTGTGTGTGTGTGTGTGTACATCCCGGCTCACAGGTACAAGTTGCAACCCTTCCTCCCCTAGCCCCATCACAAACAGCTCCCCCTTGGCTACCCCTTCAACCTAGAGCTGTGCACACCAGTGAAACTGTCTCCTTTCACAAGAATAGACACAGAGGAGTCCTAGCAGTTGCTAGGAAAAGCTCTCTCAGAGCCATTTTGAAAATTCCATAATCCTGTTTACCTGAAGCATGGTCTAGAATGGGTTCCAGATGGGCACATCAGCTTGGCTCCCCGACTCCTCAAAGGGGAGCCAAAAGTAATGGTTCTCAAACTTTAATACACAAATGCATCACTGGGGATCTTGTTAAAATGTAGGTTTGTAGGTCTGAGGTAAGGCCTGAGAGTCTGCATTTCTAACAAGCTTCCAGCTAGTGATCTGTTACTGGTGTGTGTCTAACCTGTAGCAAAGATGTAAAGCATGAGGCCTAGATTAGGGGCCTGGCTAAGTGGCTCTAAGAGCAGAACTCAGCTGTAGAATGAGAGTGGTATCTACGGGAGGGGAAGGCTGCCTTAGGACTGCCAGGAGCTAGGACCAGGCACATTGATGATGGCTAATGGAGAGCCAGCAAACAGAACTTGCACTGCTGGCACTTGAAGAGCTATAGGCTAATGGGCAAGTTAGACATTAATAAGTAATTGCAAGACATTGTGTGATAGGGAATAATAGAGGTATACATGAAGCACATAAGTGACATAGCAGAGATGATTAACTCTTTGTTGGAAAAATATTTCACAAAGTAGTGTCTGAGGAGAGCATTGAGGGATGAACTGGGATCACAGAGAACAAAGAGAAAAAGGGGATTCAAAGCCAAGAGAACAACTTATCTGTGGCAGACTATATTTTCCAAAAAATAGCTGCAACAATTTCTCTACTCCCACAAAACCTTCTAGAAACTTTCCACTTCCCTATCAAGAAGTGAATTCCAATTCCCTTTTTTGTGTTAGCGTACTTCCTTGAGTACAACGTGGAGAAGTGACACTTATGTGACTTATGTGGCTAGATGAGAAAAGGCTTTCTATCTTCTGTCTGGTTTTCTTGGGATGCTTGTTTTTGGAACCCAATCACCATGCTGTGAGAAAGCCAAGTAGCCCATGGAAAGTCCTGGTGGGGAGGAATTGAGGACCCCACCCACAATTCCTGTTGAGATTCTAGCTGACAGCCAATACCACTTGCCAGCCATGTGAATAGCCATCTTGAAAAAGGTCTTCCAGCCTCTGTCGCACTGTTCCAAGTGACACTGTGTGGAGCAAAGATAAGCCATTTCCACTAAGCCCAGACCAAATTGTGGATTCATGGGCAAAATCAATGATTGTTGTTTAAACCATCAGGTTTTGGAGTGGTTTGTTATGTAGGAGAGATTCCCATAACAATATCCAAAGGTAAAAAGGTGTAAAGAAGGCTGATGTTTAAAAATATGACACAAACAAGGGCATGTTTATGTGTAACTCATCTAGTAGAAAAAAACATAAGATGGGACCTCGTGAGAATGTTGAATCTGAGATGTGGAGTGGAGGGAAAAAGTTTAGTAAACAAGCCATTAGTAGTGAAAATGTAATGAAGTTGTACTATATAGTCAACCATGCTTGGATCAATTATTGTTCATGACTCCAACAGTTTATAGATACAAATGTTAAGGCATTTATATAACAAAGTTTTCTTGCTGTAAAAAAGTAAATTCTTATTGAAAAGAAAATACTGGCCAGGCACAGTGGTTCATGCCTGTAATCCCAGTCCTTCCCATGTCTGTTTTGGGATGCCAAGGCTGGAAGAATGTTTGGGCCCAGGAATTCAACCAGTCTGGGAGACATAGAGAGATCCTGTCTCTACAAAAAATTTAAAAATTAGACAGGTATGGTATCACACACCTGTGGTCCCAGCCACTTGGGAGGCTGAGGCAGAAGGATCGCTTGAGCCCGAGGTTGAGGCTGCAGTGAGCCACATTCACCTCACTCCACTCCAGCCTAGGCAAAAGACTAAGATCTTGTCTCATTAAAACAAAACAAAACAAAAACTAATGATCTGCTATTGTGTGTATGCTATAGATTAAAGCCCCAGTAGACAATTTCCAAAAGAAATCCATTTACTGTTTTTACTACCAAAATGGAAACATGATATAATTTCGGATACAAATAAAAAACCCACACAAATTCTGTGGGAGATAAGTTCCCATATTCTCAGGACATAAAAGTACATAATTCTGAGCTATTATCAATACCCTTGTTTTTCTCCCTAAACACACATTTCTAAGAGAACCAACCAGGAGTTTCTGAAAGAGGT